ACTGAAGGAGAAAATGAGGTTGTTTTCCATAAAAGATAAACAAAATAGGATAAAGAGGCCTTCCCCTGCGGTATTTGGAATGACAACTTTTTGAATTTTTGAAGAGGGCCTTTGGCAGGTTTCTCATTTTCAGGGAGAAAATCCAGGCAAAAGGTTTTGTAGGGAAGGTGTGGGAAGAACACTTCTTTCTCTGGACAGATTAGAACATGCCCCCGGAAACAAATTGCACATTCTGGGAGTAGCACTGTAGTAATCTGTGTCCGGCCCTTGGCTGGGCACCTTTTTTATACATGATGCTTTGTGATGTTTGAAACAACACTATAATTGGGTGCTATGCTCAATTAACAGAAAAGAACCCATTCCTCAATTTACACACTTTAGGTATGGAGGATCCGAGGGTTTTACCCAGGTGTTCTGAACGCAAAGTCCACTCCTGTAGCCATGAAACTATAGATAAGAACACAGATTCAATAAAAAATATGAATTCTAGGGTAAAACCATTATATACATATATCAGTGGTCAGAAAGCAGCTGTGGGGAGAGGTAGAGGTGATCTGGTTTTAATGGTCAAGACCTCTTAGCACATTTTTTTTGTTTTTGTTTTTTTTTCCTCTTAGCACATTTTAAAAGGAATAAATAATGTATGCTTGAGAAGTCAGTAAAATAAAAAGGATCTGTGCTTTGAGCTGAAACCTAGGGGGATTGAATAAACCTAGGGATTATTGAATCAATCACTTATAGCTTGATTTATCTCATTTCTATGACCAAAATGTCACTGAAATATTTTTTTCTGCCTCCTTTTCATTCAGGATCTCCTGCCCCCTTCTCTGTTATCCCTTTAAAACAATTTCTAGATGTTCTGAAGGTTGTTTGTATGCTCAAAAGAAGTCTGACCCCGTTAGGCACCCCTGTTGGCCTCTTCTCTTTCCTAAGCATTCCAGTCTGCCCTCTGGTATCTTTAGGCCATCTTTTAAGCCATCGAGAAAGTACTGACTACAGCTATGTCCACCGGTGTCAACTTTGCACTGCAGTCACAGTCTCTGCCGCTGCTCTTTGAAGCGATGCTCCAGACTCCAGGCCAACCATGGCCATCCTGGGACCAGAGAGTTCTCACGTGCAGAAGTGGGGAGAAGGCCAGCTTTCCCAACGCAACACCTGTTATCAGTTGTGAAACCAAACCATGCTGCATGTGCTCATCCTGAACACAGCACCGCTGTCTTCTGCCAGCCCTTTTCTCTAGGATGCAGGCAGTGAGTGCTTGAATGGAAAATGGAAAGAAAAAAGGTTGTTGTTTTTTCCCCCTTGCCCTTTCATTTCCCATTCTGAGCTTCAAGATAGGACAGAGGATGGAGATTGGTTTGTTCACTGACAATGTCAGTTAAAACGGGGCACCATAAAGAATATCAGAAAGAGTGATAACGGTATAGGTCACATTGTAATGAAAAACAAATGAATATTCTTTTACCTACTTTTGATGAAAAAGGCTTTTTCTTTTTTTTCTTTCTTCTTTAAAAAAATTATTTTATTAGGGGCTCGTACAATTCTTACCACAATCCATACATCCATCCATTGTGTCAAGCACATATACACCCTCATCATTCTCAAAACATTTGCCTTCTACTTTAGCCCTTAGTATCAGTTGAAAAAGGCCTTTCTTTCAGTAGGAGATCTTAGTTGGAATTCTGTTGAGCCTTTCTTTTGTAAGCGCCCCCGAACGTGTTACCTTCGTGTCGTAGTTCATCATCCAAAACCAGACGAGAATGTAAATGTATTTGAGAAACGATCTGTGTGAAATCTTGGATTTTAAAAATATCTTTCATAATCTCTTAGTCATCTTGCCCACACCTGTTTTATTGTTTTAGCAACTCATCTTTATTGAGTCTTTGTAAAAACAGTCTATCTAGTTTTCATCGTCACATTTTCTCTCCCTGTACCTTGTCAGTTCATGTACTTTATAATTAAATTATGTAGTTACAGCAATAGCTGCAACAACCTAAAAAGGTTTGGAGCAAACTCTGCTGTTTCGGTGGTGCACAAGCCCCCTCTGTGAGCAGCTTTGTGCCGATGAGCTGAGGGGTCCGTAGCCTTGGGTGGTTAAGTGGGTGGTTAAGTAGGTGGTTAAGTGGGTGGTTAAGTGGGTGGTTAAGTGGGTAAAAGGAGTCTCAGGGCTTGGGAGCATTGATGAATCACGTAAAAGAGCTAAATAGCTACTGCCTCCTTACTTATGTGCTGCAGAAACCTCTTCCATGGCGTAGTATGGTACCAAGAAAGGCTTTGTGCTAATGTCTTTCAGTGAAGTGATTTAGAGCTTGCCCTGGTTGTTCAGCCATGCTCCAACAGGCAAGTGCCCTTGTCATAGGCTAGAATAAAATAATTCACACGCTTCAAAGCATTAAAACTCCATTACTGAACTTGTTCCCCCGCCCCCTGCAGGTGAACAGGTCCAGCCTACCTGTTTTCACGTGTAAGCAGGTCCGTTTATGTATACCTCAGTCACAGGCTCATAGGAAAACAGTTATTGTTTTCTCGTCTGGGAAAACTGCCTCTCTGAAGTCAGTCCCCAAGCCAGTACTTCAAAGGTAACTTTTGCTCCAGTGCCACCAAGTGGTTAACTTTGAGATACCATCCTAGGAAAGACACAGTGAAGAATAAAACAAACGCCCAAACAACTTTCGTTCTACGCGCATGTCCCTTTCCAGATAGCAGCGCATAACCTCAGGCAGGGATGTCAAGATCTTTATGGAGTTCCTACTTCCGGGTCCTTAGTTTTGTGAGTACCTCAAACTTTGGTATTTCCAGGGCTTCTCTTATTTTCCAGTAAAATGTCATCCTCACCAAACGTATAAGAGACTTGAAGGTAAGTCACAATGACAAGGTATTACTTTATAATTACAAATACCACAAAGTATGTGAAGATACGTTATACTGAGTAGGGTTCTTGGCGACATCACAGCGGGGTGGCGTGTGTGTGGGGAGGGTTAGGTTGCATACCGCAGAAGTAAATACCATTAAGCTAAGAGGATCTTTCCTGCTTCTGGAACACAGATGCTCTGGGCTGGGAATGGTCAGTGCAGAATACTGGATGTGCTGATGACAGATTAACCTATTGTTTCCCCCTTGGGTCCTCTTTTAGAATTTTATGCTGAACATCTCACTTCTAGTAATGCATTCTTCTCACAGAGAGGGCATAATGTAACTGGCAAGACCAGGGTTGTAAGTTTGTTGATATAAGCCTCACCTCCTGAGAATCTGGTCTTCTTGATTAGCATTTGGGTCTTTCCAACCCCTTCAGAGCCCTCATTATAGGCTTGTTTGTTTTTTGCTGAGACGGCTCGTTTCACTATTGACATTTTTAATACTTTCATTCTCCGAGGAAAACTCATGTATTATGTTTTGGTGATCTTCCTCCAAGCACAGGTTAAAGTACTATATAAACTCCTTAATTACTTTGGAGCCTATACCCTATTCCCAATTTGACTGATGATAGAAATTAATCTATGTTCTAAGTCAGTAAGAGTACATTTGTGTCAGTTCTTTGATGTCTCCATATCAGGAGCTCTGTACAAATCATACTACCGTCTGGCATTACCAGCCTAGACAGTGGCTCTTCCTTGGGGCTTGGAGATCCCGTTGTTGCAGCTTCTTCCCAGGCCTCAAACTGCTACTGCATAGAGGCCTCACACAAGGCTGGTGCGTTAGTGTGGTTGACTAGAGAAACAAATCCAGATGCACTCACATATGTGCATAAGAAAGAACTTTATATACAAGGGCAATTGAATATTAGGAAAACGTCCAGTTCAAGTCCATAAGTCCGATATTAGCCCATATGTCCAATACCAGTCTATAAATTACTCTTCAAACTTATGAAATGCATGCAATGATCCCGAATGAGGATGATCCCAGCCCACACAGAGGCCTCATTGGTTATGACCTGACTGACAGGCTAGACTCCACCCCTTCCCTCTGTCTGAATCCTCAAATTGACAAAAGATTATGTAACTACCACAGGTAGCCAGGAGGTTTTCCAGAGGCTATACTATTGGTCGTCTGTGGTTAGAATCTTTTCTAACTAATATTTAATTGCCCCAAATGAAAAAGATCTGTGGGTTCATATTAAACTCTTAATGTCCGGCTTCTTTGCAAAAAATTGAAGACCTCATGTAGGGCCTGTGTTCATACAAGGCAGTAGGTTTTTGGAGTGGTTATCGGAAGGTAGACTCCGAGTTCTCCTCACTCTGTGTTAGATGCGTTTCTTTATGTGCTGAGTGAACTGGAAGGGTGACTCTTAGCACACGAGAAAACAACACATCAAATCAAGCATAAGGAAAGGTGTGGCTTTTTGTGGACTCTTTCTCCCCGTTCTCTTTTCTGACGTCTGCAAGAAATTCCTTGCTTGAACCCACTCCTGGCCTGTCTCTCTTACCTTTAGGGACCTGCTTCGCTTAGGGTGTCACTTCAGAATGTATTCCCTGCGCTTTCACAGGGCAGGTGTGGTTGAGGCAAGCACATGGACTTAGGGATTACAAGACTAGCTAGGCCTCGCTTTCCTTATCTTTAAAATGAGGGCGATAAATTACCTCATAGACCATGTGTGTGGTAAAAGGTTAGAGGATATGTATTTAATTTATATTGCTTCTTCCCCAACCCCAACTCCCATTTTAAAAATTTGACTGTTTCCTATTTTAATGACCTGGATAAACTCCAGCTGAATTTCTAACTCTATTTTCCTAACTATATTGTTTGTATAAGAAAGCCAAGAGTTTTTTTTTTTTATTTCCTTCCTTATTATTTTCAGAGACAGGACTCACTCATTGAGCCCACCATCTGCGAATAATAGATGAAGGATGAATTAATTTTGTTTTTGGAAAGGCACACTGCTTACCAAATACCTATACTAATAATATAGATACATTGTAATGGAAACTACATTCGCTTTTGTAATAATCAGTTGGAATTCTTTCTCCAAATGCTCACTGACCCCATTCATTGTATACTTACAGAAGTAGAGCCCAGGACAAACGCTGGGAAGTCATCAGAAGGGAAACTTGGCACTGGAAGAGGGACACTTCGACTACGATCAAAAGGCCCTGCCACTGTGGAAGAAGTGGTATGTGATAGTGAATCAATGCCCTTTCTGCTTGGAAATGTGTGGATATTCATGTTTATTAGGATTGGAAATAAAGGTAAAATCTCGAAGTTAAATAAAAACGCCATACTTGCATTCTAATTGAAGTGAGAATTTTATTCACTGCCCAATTAACCAATTGGAAAATTCCTGGAAGCATGTAAGGGGAAACAGAAACGAAGGGTAGAGGGATTGTGGTCTCCAGCAGCCTCCAGCAACCTGCAGATAACACTTTCTAGTCCGCTGACATCTTGACTAGCTTAGAAACTTCAAGGAAGTCAACCCAGTACCTCTGCAAACCAAGCAAGAGTCTCAGGTCCACTGCAAAGTCCGTCTATTTCGTAAGTTTTAGTTAATGTGGTTACCTACCCTCAAGTCAGTTCTACCTCCTAGCCCAGCAGAATGAAACACTTCACGATCCCCTGCCATCCGTACAATTGCTGTTGTGTTCGAGCCCATTGTTGTAAGCGCTTTGTGAATCCATCTCGTTGAAGTTTTCCCTTTTTCCTCTCTCCTGATAACACACCCATAGTCTGTGAGACGATGCCTCGCCACTCCTGCTTCCAGGGGGCATTCTGGCTGTACTTGTTCCAGTCTGACTGTACTTCTATCTTGATTTGTTTTGTTCTCCTGGCAGTCCGTGGTTCTTTCCATATTCTTTGTCAGCACCATAATTCAGATGCAGTGATTCTTTTTCCGGTCTTCCTTAGCCATTGTCCAACGTTCATGTGCATACGTGGTGATTGAAAAATACCATGGCTTGGATCAGATGCACTTTATTCCTCGAAGTGACACCGTGGCTCTTCAACACTGTAAAGAGGTCTTGTGCAGCAAGAAATTATATTCACAAAAAGAAAGCAATTTTATTCATGAACTTCAGTCTCTTCAGGTACAACATTTTATAGTCATCTTTGATGCTTCTCTTGATCTATATACTAGGGGATCCATTAGCATCCCCTAGTGGACGTATGCCTGTGCTGTACCTGAACCCAGTACTTCCTTACCCTTCTGCCCCTCCCCTGTCCCAATGCCATCATCTGGTTATTGAAGTTGCCTCCTACTTGTTCCCTCTGCCTTCACCCTGGGCCTCTTAGTCTGTGTCCAGCACAGCAACAAGAATAATACTTTCCAAGTGCAAAGGGATTATGTTCGAAACCCTCCAGTGGCTTTTCATGTCACTTAGAGTAAAACCTGAAGTATTCATCAAATAAACCAAACCCACTGCCATCGAACCGATGCCAACTCAGGGCAACCCTAAAGGACAGCATAGAGCTGCCCCTGTGAGTTTCCGAGACTACCTCGTTATGGGAGTAGAAAGTCCCATTGTTGTCCCGGGTAGTGGTTGGTGGTTTCAAACTGCCGGTCTTGATGTTAGTATGCTCATAGGGCTCCTATGAATTTTTCATAGTTACCAAAATTAGCTGACTCCTCCTTTTTCTCTCTATCACTCCCCCTGGGTCCTGTGCTTCAGCTGCATTGGCCACCTTGCTGTCTCAAACCTTCCAAATAGAGCCATAGTCCTAGTCCTTCGTGGACTTCATAGGCCTCTGCCTGAATGCTCTGCCCTATTTATATTCACCGCCTTCTCCTCAGGTTTCTGCTAAGTATCAGTATATCTAAAAGTGCTTTTTTAATCTTGTATAAATAGCAACTCCTGTCCCACTTCCCACTGTTCAGTTTTCCTTACCCTTAATTTTTTCCAAGGCACTAAACATCATACCACTCATTATATCTTTTTTTTTACCTTTGTTTAGCTCCTTTTTAGATAGGCTGTGTTCACTGCTAGTCCCTAGAACCTATAGCTAGATGAGAAACATGAAAAGCTAGGTGGCTGTTTTCCAGAGCTTGTTGGGTCACAAGCCCAGGATTGTTCCTGGGAGTGATTCTTTGTTGCAGAGACACTCAAGGAACCATGAGGCCAAGGCTTTCTTTGTGACTATTTGAGTCATCCAGAATACTTTTAATTTTGGGGAATCCAGAGGAAGATTTGGAGCCAGGCACCTTAATCCTGAGTAAGTGCAAGGTGTGATCCAGAGGCAAATGATAACCAAGAGACTGGGTGGAATAAAAGTGTTTGATAGATGAGATATGTTGAGTCATGTGAACACACACACACACACACACACACGCACGCACACACCAGTAATATTTGATTATTTCAGGTTTTTAATTCTCCATGGCCCAGCACACTGAAATCTGTCCAGGTGTACTGAATGAATGAACAGTCCTCAATGGAAGAAAGCAATTTGTAGGTGTCTTAGGCTGGGTTCTCTAGAGAAGCAAACCAATGAAGCCTGTACACATATACACACACATATGTTTATCTCAAGGAAATAACTCATACAGTTGTAGAGGTAAGCATGTGGGTCAGATGTTATCTGGAGACTTTGCCTAACACACATAGCTGCAGGGGCTGTTGAATTTAAACAACAGGCTCTGGCTGCAGAGACAGATGAATAAATTCAAGTTACTAGGTAAGATGGCAAGCTGCTGATTACTCCCAGTATCAGCTGGCAATATGGCAGAGCACTCCAGTCTATAGAACTGGAGGCTAATTTTGCAGCTAGATGCAGAATATAGATTGAGCAAATGCTGAGCAAGCTTTCCCACAATTTCCACTTATACTGGAAGTAGATAGCATCCCTGAGAAGGTCTCATTTTGGGGGATTACTAGGCCTTAACTTCCAAACTACTGAGAATCCTGGGCCATACAAGTTGACACAAACCTTAACTTTCACAGTTGGAGAATGGAAGAATAGCAAATAGGACTGGTTGTAGGGAGCTGGGAAAATACCAACACTGTTTTTTGACTGGGTCAGTGAAGAAGCATGACAGACATTAAAGCAGCTCCCAAAGAAGCAGGGTTGGCAGGAAGACCTAACTCTCACAGGAGGAGAGTCATCTTTTAATAGTTAACACCATCCATAAATATGCCATCCTGGGAAGTGAAGAAGTAGGTTTAGATCTGTCTGGAGACCTAGGGAAAAATTCATTCAAAGGTAAACATCTAAAACAGTTCTTATTTGCCTAGCCCGTTTCATTAAATAGGGCAATTGAAAATAGCTCATAATTAAAGGGAAAATAATCTACTTTGGTGCTAATATTAAATTTGATGGAAATCACTAATTTCAAATACCAAAGATTTGAAGAATTGTAGCATTTGAAACAAATCATTCCCTTTAAGTCTAGTAAAAATTGTAAAAGCTATAAAAGACACTTCATTCCATACCTCAGAATCTACTCAATATGTGTGGATTGAGACAAGCACAATCCAGGTAATGGTAAGGGAAGGACGAACAGGCCAATCTGTTTCTCTAAAAGGAGAGATGAAGGAAAAGAAGCTACTACAAACCGTGAGATAAGGGTTAAGAGAAATACCTAAAAGCAACACACATTTGTGACAGCATTAAATAGGATATGAATTTCAAACAATCTAATCATGCTTTCTACGCTTGTACCTGTAGTTGTGTATTTAGCATCGTTGGGCTATTGCATCACCAGCAATGAAACCATTTGAAACCTACTATCAGTATAAACTGAACATAGAATAATAAAACAGTCAATCAAGTTTTTTTGTTAAAAGTATCTTTAGTAATAGTTTTAGGAAAAACAAATGTGCACAGTTTTTTATTATTATATCATTCTTTTAAAACCCTGTACTTGTGTACTTGCTTGTTAAGTGCTGGGCTGCTAGCCAAAAGGTTGAAGTCCAACCTCTGTGGGAGACAGACCTGGTCGCCAGCTTCTATAAATATTAGCACCAAGAACACCCCATGGGCCCATACTGCTCTGTCACATGATTGCTCTGAGCTGAAATCTAGTTGATGTCATCTAACAATAACACTGTATACAATAGGTCAATATGTGAATGTGTATATAATTTCCTAGGAAATACATACAGTAAAATGAAATTTAAAAAGTAAATAATGATATGCATTCAGAAATGTTTTACTATTGTGTAACCATAAAGGAATTTGGAGTTTCTGACCTGCATGATAAAGACTGGAGCCCTTCTTAGGGAGGCACATAGGAGCCTTTGGTATTTGGTCACATCCGTCCAATACTAGATCACTAGTCCCACAGGGCTTCTGCCACCCTCACCTCTAACTCCGACCATCATTTATTGATTCAGTTTTAAATGTAATATCCTAAGCTCTTTACATATATCAACTCATTTAATTTTCACTGCTATCAAGTAGGTAATATTTTTGTTTTATAGATGAGCGGAGGCACAGAAGGATAAGTAACTGGCCCAGTAACACACACTGTTCAACGAGAAAGCTGGGGTATGAATGGCTGCACCAGTACCTTTGCTCATCATCACTACATACTACTGCTTCTAAAACCCAGTGGAACCCTCTACCCTGAACTTTTAAAATATGAACCTATCTCCTCTATATATTGAATAGCAAAAGATAAGAAACAAAATGTGTATCAACTCAAAAATTAAGATTTGAGTTCTATCATTTAAATTAAAGAAAAATTAATGAAATTTTTATTGTGAATTCGGTCGTAGGGGGTTGACATTTCACACCATCAACTCTGCATTTAACAGTTAGCCCCCCGCCCCCTACTGTGTCCCTTCACCCAAGTCAACAGCTGTTAAACCTCTAGCCTCATAGGACTTCTTGCAGCCCCTGTAGTATCCGATAATATTCTATCAGGCTCTGCGGCCTCAGAGAGATTTATTGATTTTTATCTGAAGTACCCTTAACTTTCTTATTTGACAGTGCTCATTTCTGAAAGTGCAGTTCTTATATTATCGTCTTTCTGTAACCCTTTGACTCTCAGAGATTTGGATTTACTTCCTCTTCTGTGATGCTTCTATACTGTATGCATAAGTTTATACATGTAAAATTGTGCTTGTTATTGGTACACACATATTCATGCCTGTCTCCTGTTCTAGATTGTTAGCTACTTGGAGTGGTTGCCACTGATTTCTCATATTTGAAATGATAATATTAATGCTGATGTTAAATAAGTATTTACTGTGGACTTGTATTGCGTTAAAGAGTAGATATTAGATTGATTTCCATTAAAATTAGCAACTATGCAACCATAGACTTTTTCATTATAAAACTTGCCCTTATATATACTGTGACATTAAAAAGTGCATTTTAAGAAGATATGTTCCTTTCTCTTCTTTTATAAAGCCATCTGAAAATGAGACAAAAGCCATTACAAAGATTGATGACCTGCTTGATTTGTACATGGGGATCCGAGATACTGACTTAGGTGAGAACTTACTCTTTAAAAGCCTTCTATAGTTTTTTTTGTAAGCAGTTTTATTGGTATTTCATCCACATATCTTACAATTCAATAGTTCAATCATCAAGAAGAGTTGTACAATCTTTTCCACAATCAATTTGAAAACATTTTCTTCTTCTTTGAGTTAATTGTTATTCACATAATTATTTTTTTCAATTTTTGAAAAAAAATACACAACAAAGGATTTTCTGATTCAATAACTTCTACATGTATAATTCAGTGTCATTGATTATACAACCACTACTGATATCCCTCTCCATTGTTCCACTACCGTTAAAATAAACTCAATGTTCCTCAAAAAATCGTCCTCCTTCACCCATGGGAACCATAGGTCAGATTTGGTTTCTTTAGTTTTTTTTAAAGTAGTGTTCTTGATATAATATTCACATATTATATACTTCCACAGTTAAATAACTTTTTAAAAAAAGATCATTTTATTTGGGGCTCTTAACAGCTTTTATGACAATCCATACATCAATTGTATCATGCTTATTTATATATATGTTGCCATCATTATTTTATGAACATTTATTTTCTAAACCCTTGGTATCAGCTTCTCTTTTTTCCTTTCCTCACCCTCTGCCCCCTTGTGAACACTTGATAAATTATAAATTATTATTATTTTCATATCTCACACCGAACACTTTCTACCTTCCCCCATGGTTTCTTCCCTCCTTCTCTCCCCACCTTTTCCCTACCCTCCTGGTATCACTACTTCCATTTCTATTCCTGAGGGATTTGTCTGACTTGGATTCCATGTGGCATGAGCTCTTATCTGTACCTGTGCACATGCTCCATCTAGTGCGCAGTGAAAGGCAGGATTGGGGTCATGGTAGTGGAGGGTGAGGAAGCCTCAAGGAACTAGAGGAATCTTGTGTGTTTCATT